TCTCTTGAACTCGCCGTACTTCCTGGCCTCCTGACTCCTACTAATGACTCTGTCTTTTCTGTTCTCTGGTTCCTGTTTTCTTTCCTTTCTCTTCCTTTGCGTGTTCTTCGGTTGTTACTTACATGTTAGTGGTCCTACAGTGACCTCAGTGCCCCTGATATCTTTACTGGAGCCTGTGTCCTCCCAAGTCAATACCGTTTTGTAACAAGACTTCTCTTTAGTTCACCATATTGTCCGCTGGAGTAGTGAAACCTGTAAGCCTTACTGTAAAACAGGCTATGTTGGAAATGTAGGATTAGGGGTTGTTCCTACATGGGGAACCCCTCCCCTGCTTTTCTGACTCCTGGTGAGTCTGGACCCCCACTCAGGTGGTATTAGGAAGGTGTCCCAGCCATGGTTCCAGAGCAACCTGTGACAATAGAATATGTCAGTTGAGCTGAGGCAGTTATTCTCAGAACTGCTGACCAACCGGGTCCAACTGCTTTAGGAGACAGGACTTCCTGCCACTGCTGCCACCTTACGAGCATGGAAGACTCCCAGAGTGATGAGAAATTGTAACCTCTAACCTCCCTCTTCTGATAGGGTTTTATCCCCTTAATCTTTTCCCCTGGATCCTGAACAGCCATGCAGAATCAAAATGTGCTTGTGCTTGATATTTCTGTTTCTGTCCCAATATTCACCCTAGAACAGGGTTTCTCAACAGTGGCACTGTTGACATTTTGAGCCTGATAATTCTTTGTTGTTGGGAGCTGTCTATGCATTGTAGGATGTTTATAGCATCCCTGGCCTCTACCCAGTAGATGCCACTAGCCTAGCACTCCACCCAAGTTGTGACTACCAACAATATCTCCAGTCACTGCCAAGTGTTCCCTGGGGGGGGGGGTGGGGGGGTGGGGGTGGGGTGGATAAAATCACTCCCTGTAGAGAACCACTGGAGAGAAATTAATCTACTCTGGCTTTATGGAACCAGGACTTTTGTTCTTAATCTAACATTCCATTCTTCCCTCCACAGTAACTTTTCCCTAAGAGAGTTCTGTCGAGTAAGAGTCTTATAAAATAACCAAGTGAAGCACGCATGTACTGTATCCCTGTCAAACCTGCCCTATATGTGCTATAATCCCCTACCTCCGTGGGGTAGGATTAATCACATTTTAAGGGTGGGGAAACTGAAGCTGAGAAAGGTTAATTTTCCAGAGTTAGTAAACAGAACTCAGATTTGGAGTATGAGTGCTTTCTCCTCAAACTGCCTGGAAGCTAATTCAATAACCCTCAGAAGAGCTCTGACTACCCAGTGTTTGGGATTAGTGTATTTGGAGTCCATTAAAATCTTACCCTGTGGGCAGGAGGACCTGTGGCCACCTTTTGGAAGCTGAATTTGCTCCTTGTTTGTCTTAGATGAAAGCTGTCTGGGGGGAGAAAGCTGAAGCCTAAGTTCCTATCCTCTTTGGGCTCTCGCAAACACCTGAAGTCTTGAAGGTTCCTGAAGGGTACCAGGGGCCTGGCAACCTAAGAGATGGGCTGAGAAGGGGCCAAACTGTCAAAACAGACTGTGCCACACATAGGGTACAAACCCCAATAAGACTCAAAACAGAGACTAGACACTCGTGACTGCTCATGGATGTATATTTTAATAAAAATAATTCTGTCAAAATACAACAGGAGTTTTTTCATTTCTCAAGTACAATTTAATAGGATGTTTTGTGTTAGAATTCTCTCTAAACCCTCCCACAAGTTTCATGCTAATGCCAAGTATCAACTCGCAAGGACAAAGGCAGAACCAGTGTGCACAATGTGGAGGACATCTGTTTCAGCTGTAGTTACTAATGGAGGAAAACCCTATGCAAAGAGGTGGCACCTGAGGCAGCCAGAGTCCATGAACTGGCCACAGGTCCGGTGCACGGGACTGGCAGTCAAGTGGGGGCTCTGCTGCCTGGCTGCCACATGCATGCATACCTGAGTTGTGAGCAACCAAAGGAACTTTCAGCGCTGACAATTCTCTGCCTCATCTTCTTTGTGCTTGCTTAAGGGGTAGGAAGGTGCTGGGTGGCTGGGCAGTCCCCACTTCCCCATCTCTTAGTGTCCCTGTTCTGGCAGCCTACCCCCCAGCCACAGACCCATGTGGGTGAGGATCAGAGGTTCTGGCTTTCTTTGCATCATCTGCCAGTGTCCGCTCTGGAAGGTAACATCTGGTGGCACAAGGGGAAAAGGTAAACAGGGAAGGCTGTTCCCCCAGGGCTGGATGACCCAACAGAGCCAGGTCTTCTTCCTGTCCTCTTGGGTCAGGTCCAGCCCTTCACTGGGGCTCCTCCCAGGTGCCTTCCCCACTGTTGGCTCCCAGACAACAGGCTGGTAGGACTGGGTGTGCATAAGGGGCTCCTCTGGCTGGCAGGCAGCCCTGGACTATCAGCAAGATAGTGGACTCAAGCAGCTTGGTTTTGATCCTCTCCATGGCTTGTGGGGCAAAGGCTTATGTCCCAAAGGTAAGCTGTCCAATTGGGACAGAGAGCCCCTCTGGAGAGGAACAGAGTAAACAACTTGGACTCAGCTGAAACAGAGAGATAAGGCACAGAAAATGGGGAGATGGCCATGGGAACTGAGCGCGAGCCAGGTGGACACTCAACCCCAAGCAGCACACAGCTGTCCCGGGCCCTCTTGGGCCCTCTCTCAGCTGCTCCACAATTCAAGCCCAGCCACCCATCCCCATCCCTGACACACCCCTGAAGATACCAGCTGCTTAGACACTGCTGGGGGCCTCACCAGCCTAAGCCTTTCACTCACCATTTGGCTTCAAGACTAAACAGTGTCGTACAGCCCATGGGGATGAGGTTAGTCCCAGCTCTGCCACTAACCTGCTCTGTGACTTTGGCTAAGTCATTTAATCTCCCAGGCCTGTTTCCTTATTAAACGAGAGGACTGGTGGAGTAGATGGTCTCTGAACCCCATTCCAGCTAAAAAAAAGCCTCTGGTTTTAATGCCCAATCCTGCTCAGCTCTGATCATTTTAACACCTTGATGTTTTTAACCTCTGCATTTGGGAGCTAGCCATCCCCAGCCTCGCACAGGATGAGTTTTCCTTTACAGACATGACAACACCTCTCCAACAGGCCATGGTCTGTGGGGTGCCAGCCAAGGCCCTGGTGGGGACCAAGAAAAAGCAGCAGCTTATAGGATCATGCCCCAAGGCAGAACTCGGGGAAAGCACAGGGCCAGGGCCCTTACCCCCATCACGAGCAGTTGGTCCAACTGAGTCACATTTCTTGTCCAGCTATGGGCGTGACAGGCAATGAATCTCAGGCTGTACCAACCATCCCTATGTCTGCTGCCAGAGAGCAGGAGCTTATCTAGCCTTTTCCCAGGCAGGGACTCAAAGTTCAATTTCTGGCCTTGCCCCTTGGCAAGGGCTACCTGTGCACTCCCTCTCACTATGAAGCAGGTAGGGAAAGCCCAGCCCCTCCTGGTGCTCCTCTGGGTAGGCCTCCTCCTTTTCTTCCTCCTAGGCAGTCAGTCCTCTCCACTGATGGCTTGCTCAAGTCCCAACAGTCATCTCAGCCCTTCCTCTCCTGATTCCCTGATGGCAGTACCGGGACTGTTTCTACCCCACCAGCTGTGAAGATCCATCTGAAACGGCTGGTAGGACATTTGTAGAGCCCATGAGGTCCCTTCCTCTGGCCAACAAATACTCATAATAGTCTTTTCTAAGAGTGGCTGGGACCAAGCTGCAGGGAGCTGCCTGGCACAGCTGCAGTGAAGCCTGGCTTAGTAGGTCAAGAGTTCCATCCACTCCAGCAACTGGTGGCCCAAGTATCTGCCTCCACAAGGTCCTAGCTTCACAACAGAAAGCATGGATTCCATCAGAGCTGTGCAGAGATGGTGAAGATCCAGGCAGAAAGAAGGCAGTCCCTGTACTCAAGGGCCTCTGTCCTGGAATGGAGACATCCTCCCCGCAGCCTGACACACAGCAGCTCTCGAGTCAAAGGCAGGTAGTTTCCAGGCAATCAATTTAGAGTAAATGAATTATTTGGCCATCTTAACAAGGGAAAACAGGATGCTGAGTGGGGGGAGAAAGGGAGGGGCAAGGTAGGCAGTGAGAGGCAGGGTAGAACGGTAGATAGCGTGCTGGCCAAGGACCCTCTACTCCCTTGCTTTGCTGTGTAGCCCTGGGCCAACCAACTCATTCCTTCTCTGAAGCCTCAGCCCTATAGTTGTCCACCCAGCCCAACTCTCAGGGGCCGAGGGACCCACACCTTTCGGATGCTGCAAACCTGCCCACTAAGTGGCCCCCCAAAGCCTACTGGGCTTCCAGGAGCTGCAGCTGGGCCTGTGGCTCAACAAAGGGGAAGCCTGAAATAAACAAATCACTTGGCTGAGGTGACAGAGATGATTCTTTTTTAATGAGTTGGTCTCAAATAAAAACATATGGTGTCCGGACAGCCTCACCCAAGAGGTGCTGGATCACTAACACTACGATAAATACTGTGTCTTTTTTTAATATATATATTTATATATATATAATCTCATTTTTTTTTTTACTTATGAAAATAGTAAGCTATCACCAACTTGGATAGGCTTCATCACTAAATGAGCAGAAACCAGCTCAGCACAAGCTCTCCAGAGATAAATACTGGTGGCTCAGTCAGGAGGAAAAAAACAAAAAGATTTAAAAAACCCCAACCCCTCCTCAAACAAAACCCCCCTTTCAAACTAGAAGGCGCTACATGAGAGTAACCAGCCAATACTGTGTCAGAGGCCGCTGCACGCAAAGACAGAGACTGAGGGC